TCCCAGGAATCCACAAGGATGACCCCACCTTAGACTACTGGCAATAGTGGAGAGATTGCCTGAACTGGCCTATTCCGGTAATCAGATTAGTGATTACCCTAACTGGCATCATAGAGCCTTCATCCACTAACTGATGGAAGCAGATACAGAAATCCACAGCCAGGCACCAGGCCGAGCTCCAGAATTCCAATCAATGAGAGAGAGGAGGGATTCTATGAGCAGGAGACATTGAGAGTATGATGGGAAAGCCAAACTAGTGGAAACTCATAAACTGTGGACCATTAGCTGTGGAGTCCCCATGGGACTGGACTAGACTCTCTGGATAGGTGAGATAGTTTTTTAGCTTGAACTGTTTAGGGCCCCCCAGGCAGTAGGATTGGGGTCCATTCCTGGTGCATGAGTGGCCTTTTTGGAACACAAAGCCTATGGTAGGACCCTTACACAGCCTTGATGCAAGGGGGAGGAGCTTGGACCTGCCCCAACTGAATGTACCAGGATCTGCTGAGTCCCCATGGAAGACCTTGGCTTGGAGGAAGTGGGAATGTGGGTGGGTTGAGGGGGGAGGTCCTGGAGTGGGTGGAGGGAGGAGAGAGAGACATCTGTAGTTGATATGTAAAATGAATAGAAAATTTTTAATAATAAAAAAAGAAAAAATCTGGCAAGAAACAAGCCAAGGCCAAAGGTGGGCATTTATAATTAAGAAAAATAAAATAAAATATTAGTGTAAATTCACATGACAAATGAAAACTAAAGATATAAAAATCATCTTTGAGAAACTCAGAACCACAAAAGTAAAACAAACCTTCATTAGAGGAACAAGCATACAATTTCTATTACAGAAAGAATCATATACAAAATATGGAAAGAAACAGAATGAAAGTAAAATTCCAGAATATAGATCTAAAAGTCAAAAGTATTTTCAAGGCTATATTGAAATATAGCATGGTAGAAAGCAATTGCTGGTTTAGCGTAGGTTGTTTGTGGGACTCCTAACAATGGGAATGTGGACATCTCTGACTCTTACTTGCTCTTGGGACCCTTTTCCTCCTACTGGTCCTACTTTGCCTCACCTAGCCTTGTTAGGGGAGTTGTGCCTGGTCTTATTACATCTTAATATGACATTTTAGGTTGATATCCCTGGGAAACCTGTCCTTTCTGAAGGCAAAGGATTAACAGTGGATCTGGGGAAGAGAGGAGGTGGGGGACGGGAATGGTAGAAGAAGAGAGAAGAAAGGCTGCCATCAAAATATATTGTACCAGAGAAGAATTTTTTTAAAAGAACAGGAATAATAGAAAAAAGAGGAAATGTTAATTAAATAATACTTTATTGTAATAAAACTATTATATACAAAAAAGTAAGTATATTCCAGCAGATGTTTGTCTGAATCATGATATTAATCTATCTATGTGTTGTTTCTATTCTCT